TCTCCCTGTCTACTGTACACATTATGTAGCATGCCCACTCACATCCACTTCACCACCACCAAAGCATCCAATTGCACAGCATCGACAGCGACATTGGATGTCGTTGCCTTTGGGATAACCCGATACCGCCGTCACCTAGACACTACTACTCCCCCCCCCTGCGATCCCATGTGGGCGCGGAGCACGAGGAATTTCCATCACCGCCTTTTCGATCCCCCCAGCTTCAGGAGTGGGAATACCCGCCCTTCGGTTTCTATAGTACGCTCGATTGACGCGTTCCTTACCAATGCCATCAACACTGTGCCTTCACGTTGGCACCTTCTTCACATCCTCCTCGACAGCCTTCTTTATGCCCACTTCTCCAGCATCGATACGGCACCACCCCTTTCCCGAGCCCGCGTAACTTGCAAACGCCGCTGCTTTTCTCGAAACATTACCACACTGCCTCCACGACTACCCGTACCCCACGTTCTCTGCTCCTTGGTGATGGTTTAGGGCCGTAGGCTGCAAATCAAACTTCAGGGCGCGCTGTTGTGACCTACCCGCTGTGCTTTGACGCCTTCCTAGCGGCGGCTTACTGGTGTTGCCTTCCGTCCAACAACAGAGTGGGAGGCTGATTTGGAAGTCGATATCAGATGGAGGGTAACCCGATCCATCCCTATCCTGTCTGACCAGGCAAAACCATACCATTTACCTACGTACCTCACACACCCTCTGCGCTATGTCTCCTGTTCCCTGCTGCCCGCCGCCACCTTTTGACTACACTGCATTGGCCCTTCCCGTGCTGAGATCGCACCCTCTCCCCCGTCCCTTATCCGCCCATCCATCAGCCAGTCCATCAGCGCCTTGATGCCCCTTCCCCGAACCCTTCCATCATGATAGCCCGAGGGTGCCTTACCCGGGCCTAGCCCAGTCTGCTGTGGTGGTAGGGGTATGTAACACCTCATAGCCAGGTCGTGAAAGGATACATCCCACCGTTCCCACTGAGGGTGGTGACGCTCAGTGGTCAGAATTATAAGCAGACTTCACTAGGATCACTGAGGATTGCTGCTTGAGCTGGTGGTGGCAGCTCAAGCCACATCTACTCAACCGGAGGGTTTTATCCTCGCCATCCTGCAACCGCAGTAGGGGGCCTCTGACATCAGAGCAGATTAGATGAGTACCCTTGCGACATCAAGCTTCAGTTTCTCAACCAACGGCGGGTAACGAGAGCCCTAAGCTTTCAACAACAAACCTCGATGGTGAGAGGCTGCAGCATGCCATATCACGTCGAGCCATCGACTACCTTGCCAAACGATCCAATGGGCGCAATCGGTCGTAGGTGCTGCTCCGAATCGTGCAAGCAAGCGCGTTCAATGACGACTAGAGAGGCATAACAGCTCGCCAGATAGGATCCATCCGATGTTGCACACATCGCTTAACGCCATGACCCGGGGACTCCGTCTTCGCAGACTGCGAACATGCTCTCATGTCCAAGCATGTGAAGCTGCAATATCAACCTGTACTATGCCTCGTCGCGCCCGTTACCGATGCGTTTTGACAGGTTGACGAGCCTTTCTAATGGCTGGTTTCATCGGCGCCAAAAATGACTGGTAACGTGTGCGCGAGGTGTCTGCCCCTTCCAGATCTCTGCTGGCTGGGCGCGCATGACAAGAGTGAAGGGTCTTGCATGCCGCCGAAGGTGGTGGCATGGCAGGTGTTCTGCTCATACAATCAGATCAAGAGGCACCCTGCCGCGATTCAAACCTACTGCATCTTTCGTAATGGACACAATCGTCCCGGGGTCAGGCCACTCGAGGCAGACAATGTAAGATTGGCCGTGGCTCTTCCTCCATCCGTACATTCGTCCTCTTCTCTGTGACCTCAAGCCCACGTATCTCGTACCAACGCTGCCTCTTGTTTGCCTCAATGATGTCACTTGCATGGGGAAACGACAGCTGGGCGAGCGTGAGCAAGATCAGGACGATTACGAATAAGAGCAAATAAAACTACAACCGGCCCCCGTTCCTTTGGAGAATAGCCTTGGAGACGAGACGCGCGCCAAAACGAGCCAAATGGTCGGTGCTGGTCGCCAAGTATGGATGTTCGAAGGGAGGTGGTGGGTGCCGGCTCCCCAGAACGGGTGTGCGGGTATTGGGTTTTTGGCGTATTGATCACCGCCGATGCATCCCTTTCTATTGCTCCAACGGTTATCAGCTCTCGTCTGTAAGTCGATAACCGGTTGAGGCCAGAATATAAGTTTTCTTCATCCAGACCCTTGGGTTTAAAAAAAAAAAAAAAGAGTCATTTATATAGGGATTTGCATGGTTCATGCTTCCCTCGGGGATTAGATCGCCCAAATTATCCCATTCGAGAGTCAGTACGACGCAGTGCATTTCTCTCGATGAAATATCCTCCAAGTCTCTTGTCGATCGGTAAGGGAATGCGCACGAGAGTTGGAGAGAGACGGACCGCCGCGGGCGTAGCTGCAACTGTCGTGGAGTGTTCACACTGTATGCAACGGCTTTTGATGGAGCTGCTGGATGAGATGGTGAGGAACACCTCTGCTGCATCTGCATGGCACCCTTACCCACACCACATCCTTCAACCACACACACACAAGGAGGGGGAGGGGAGGAGAGGGGGGAACACATGATAATCCCTACCTCGTCGTCCATTCACGGCGTCTTGCATCGACTCCTTGAGTACCCAACCGGCCGACCCCGTTACCTAAATGCTTCTTCCCCCATGGCCCACGGTCCAGCCTTCTCATATTCGTGCCAGCGCGTTCGCAGCACACCGTATTTCTCGTGGTCTCACAGGGCGCCTCACAGAGGCCCCATCGAATGGCATTTTGCAATCGGGATGGATATCTCTGTTTTCCGCCCGGGAGCCTAGGGGCCGAGGAGGGGTTTCGATACGGATACCGCGACAAGGTTGTATAGTGTAAAGTAGCGACTTCTTTAATGAAATACTATGTAGAATAAAAGCCACAACGTGCGGTTATCCCTACCATGTGTGTGCTGCGTAAGGCGTGCTGGGGTACCGAGTGTAAGGGGAAGCAAGGTTGAGGTGTGATTGTGAAGGAACAATGTGGGAAGGCAGGCTGCCGTGCCTCATGGCAAACAGGCAGAGCAATTAAGGCAAAAGGGTGGGGGGGGGATGGGAGGGGCAGGCAAGGCACATGGCAGAATTGTGAAGAGCGACAAGGGGCCCTGGACGATAGAAGGGGTGGGGGGGGGGGGGGGGGGGCGACAGTTTGAGGTGTACTGTACATGGATACGTACATCCGTCCTGTGAGGACGAGGAAGGTGGTGAGGTTGTGTGCGGCCAGTAAGTCTCCTCTCCGCCGGAAGCTTCTGAGGCTGTTGCTCTTCCACTGCACCAAACAAAGGGACATAAAAGGATATAGCAGCACAGGAAAGATGTCAATTGTATCAGAGTGAGACGAGTGTGAGCGAGACTCACTCTTTCATACACACTCTTTCACTCTCATCCACGGACGAGGGGTGAGTGAACTGTACAGTGGATACTGAGTGAGTTGACATGGGCAACCGCGGGCGGGGGACAGACAGCTATGTAGAGAGGAGGGAGAAAAGCACAGGTAGAGGTACTTGGTTGAGGTACCTCCATACGGAAAGTTGCAAGTGTGGATGATGGGGCCTTAGGTGGTACCTAGGTAGGAAGGCCCAGGGGCCCCACACCACGCTTTTTTACTGCAATGGGCCGCCTCCCCCCCAGCGGAGACTCGAGAGAGAGGGTGAGAAAGAGAGACAGAAAGAGAAAGAGAGAGGGCGCTTGAGGGAGTATGGATCCCCTTCCTTGACTGGGGTCTGACGGCTGGTGGCATATTCCATCCTAGGCTGGCAGGAATAGCAAAGAAAGAAAGAGCTCTGTCAAGAAATAAACAAACAAAAACAAAGTCCCCTCCCAAAGTGAAGAAAACCCATCTTCCGTCAAAAGGGCCAGTTGTCAGGATACACCAGCATCAGGATGCCTGTACTGGAGGCTGACGGGGGACGAGATGCATCGCCAAACCGGTGCGGCATCAGGCCAGCATTTACCTTACAAATCCCCTTCCACTAGCCTCTTGGGACGCGGAACGGAACAGGAGCATGCATACTCACCTCGTGGCTCGTAGCGCCCGCTGTACGTATGTATCTATAGGTGCGTGTGTACGCATGTAGGTACATCGGCCTCCTCGTCGCATGGGCACGGCATGCCTCCCGCCCTTGATGACACCGCAACTGCAACCGCAACGGCGGCCGGTTCATCATAAAAAAAAAGAAAGCAAAATGCGCCGAGATGAAGTTCGGAGGACGGACATTCGATGTACGCAGGACGTTGGAAACCATCCAGACATTTTGTCATTTTCTCACTCTCACACACTCTCTCATGGGGATTCCCCCCTCGCTTCTTCCGTACCTAGTGTAAAAAAGATCGCGCTGCCCCCTTGCCCTTGTTCCTCTGTTTAGTCGGCTTGCCTTCTTTCCGCTTAGCCTCGAGCGGATAGGGTAGCTTCCTCTCCTTCTTCACGAGATTCTGCCCACTTGGTTGTCAGTCCATGCCGTCTAAGATTCCACTTTCGACCGGTCCATCATACTCACCAATCCCATTCTCGCCAATTCGATCCTTTGAAAGAACAGAAATAAATAAAAAAGAGAGAGGGCGGGAGGAAGACTCCACCCGAGCCGCAAGTCGATTCTTCTCGGTATTAGGTAGCGAACCATCTCCAGAGAGAGGACAGACGCCTGCTCCTGTGTCGTACGGGCAGATGATTTGAAAAGTTGACAGCCCGTTCCGATCCCGTCCTAGCCTCGTTGGCTTTTCTTTCTTCCCTTTCTATTGCCCACCCCGACGACGTTCTCAAGTCTCAGAAATCAGAGTCACCGTCTTAAGTCTCACTCTTCCCGGTCTCCATCCTCGCCTCAGTTCTTCCTTGGCCCAGACCACAAGGGAATAAGGATTGAAATTTTTGTTTACACAATATCTCCGGCACCAAAGCAACCCCCTCGTTTCTGCTATCTGCATCCCAGCGCACCGGGCCTGTTTGCCATTATCACACGCCTCTCATCCCCCGTCTCATCATCGACGTCGGTTGCGCCTTTCTTCTGCTCGTCCACGTCCTCGTCCACGCCGCCGCCGCCCTCGTACGTCGGTCCGTGTGTTTCCTCGCACTCCATGTCGCCAAGCGCTGCGTGAACGGCAAAACAGTCATTCCAAGCCCAGTCGAGGTCCTTCCTCTCCCTAGAGACAGCTTTGACTGTCACGTCACGCCTGGACCGGCCAAACCCACAAGCCGCATCACCACATCTCGCCGCTTCAAGTCAGTATTACATCCCTTAGTGTACTCACCTACGACGTTACCCCACGGTTGGACGGTCATATCCGTAATCGTACCATCGAATGCCCCCTTCTCCTCCCTCTGCCTTCTTTTGCTTCTTCTCCCTCTCCCTCTTGGGCCTTCCCGTTGCCTGTGCACTGCTACCCGGTATTTCGTGTCGTCTCCTTTTCTCTGGGTGCCTTCTGCTAGCCTCTCCATTTCATCTCTGGGCCCCCTTTCCTCGAGCCGGCCTCACCAAGTAACTCTCGGCTACCAGCATCGAAGTGGCCCGGAGCATGGTCCCATACTGGCCCTGACTGTTGGGTCGTGCCCGCCCGCCCGCTCTCTCGTCGAAGGCGGTAGACGTATAGCGTCTTTCCCACGTCCCGTCTATCTACTCCCACTCCCAGTCTCACTCCCAGTACAGTACTAGCCCCCTCCCCTCCCCTCCCCTCCCCTCCTCTAGCTCCCCCCCCTGATACCCTTTTTTTCTTTCCCTTTCCTGCTTGCAGGGTTCCGCCATCTACATGTACATCAGCCCCTTGGGCCTGTGTACTCTGTACTGTACTTTGGTCTCGCTGTTGTACCTTTTTCTTTCTCTTGCTCGTTCCATTCGCTCCATTCGCTGCCCATGTCCCTAATTCTCCTCCTCCTCCACCATTACCACCACCGCAACCACACACCTCCTCTCCTCTCCTCGTCCACGCCCACGCCCTGCCTCACCAAAAACCCGCTTTCTCTTCGCTTTTTTCTCGCGCCTGCCTTTTTATTTGAACACCCGTCTTGCCGTCTGCGCTTCTTCTAACCCTCCTTTTCCCATTAGATGGCCGCTGTCTCCAAGACGTCCCGACCTTCCAACCGCGAGCCATTGTCAAACGAGGCCAGCTCCGAACCTGATCCTCTCTCACACAAAGCCAATCCCAACCCTACCAGTGCTAACCCGCGATCCACCGCTCCTACCACCACCACCACAACCACCACCGGCGGCAGCGCTCCTCTTCCTGCCACTGCCACCACCACCACCACCACCACCACCACCAACTCCTCCTCCAATACCAACACCACTACATCATCGTCGACAGATCCCAACCAAGTCGTGTCTCCGGTGAACCGCCCGCATTATCGCTCGCATCACCACTCGCCCTCAACCACCTCTTTGCAAAAGTTGCAGCGCTCCGGCGGTCTCTTCGGCTTCGCTGCCGCTGCCTTTGACAAGACCCAATCCGCACTGGCTGCCTTTTCCTCGGACCAGCCAATTCGCCAGCGCACCTCCAGTTCCGCATTGGGCAGGGCCTCTTTCACCCCCGACTCTGCTTCGGACCACTCTGCCAGCCTTGGCTCGACAGACAAATACCCACGATACACGAGCCCCTCCAACTACTCGTCTTCGAGCAGCACTCTCAACCAAACAGAGGGCAAGTATCCCAGCCAGGTATCGCTGGTACAGGATATACCCTCTCTTCCATACACCGAGACCGACCCCAATAGGCCACTTCCCTACCGACAGCCGAGCCTAGAGAGCAAAATGCATCAAACATCCTCGCGGCTTCTCCGCATGACGGATGATGACCGGCCATTCACAAAGGTCAGTAAGCCGCCAGGCCCGACGTTGCTCGCCGAACCAAACGAGAGCCTCCGAGACGGTCGCGGACCCCTCGCTCCCAATCATGCCCAGCCGCGGCCTCAGCCCTACACGTAGATGATGGCTAACTAGAACAATTGAACAGGACTTCAAGGACCTTTTCTCAACACTGATTGTCAGCCTCCTACCTTTGTCCGCGCACCGCGTCCGGTTAACACGCGTGGAAAACACCTTCCTTTCCGAAGATGCAATCAACAACTTGGGCTCCCTCAAGTTCTCCCAATCCAACCGTATGCCCGACCCTAAGGACCCCTCCAGAATAGTGACAACCACGACGACCACGACGTTTTCGATGGCCAAGGACATGGCCCGCTCCATTTGCCAAAAGTTTCTCGAGGCGAGGTTCATCGAGTCCGCCGACGGAAAGTACCAGCAGGTGTACAACATGAAGGGCTCCGTATGGCAATTGACATCAAAGGGTGTCACCGTGCTGGATCGCTTCTGCTCCCGCAACGGCATCCAGCAAAAGTCGATAGCCGAACTCGTCGGCTCGACGCTTTCGCAACTCGTCATACTCGAGAGGGATAGCCAGACGGACAAGCTCATTACGGACCGCGGCACGATCGAAGTCATCTTCAGGAGGTTCATTGGCACGCACGGCCCCAATGTCAAGTCCAGCGTCAGCTCAGCCGACTCGGACTCTCTCAGCGACTACAAAGACGGTCTTACCGGTGTCAAGATGGCTAGCGAGCGCAAGGTGAATGGCAAGACGTACAAGGATACCTTCACAGGCAAGGCCGCCACCGATTGGTTGATGGACTGCTGCACCACCGTAGACAGACGGGAGACGTACGACATCGCGGCCCTATTCGTGGAGTACGAGTTGATGGAGCCCGTGGTACAAGACCGTGCTCATATGGCACAATACCCCACCCAGCAACAACCTGTTCCAACCCACCAAGCATGCCATCTACCAACTGACGGCGAAGGGCAAGGATCTGATCAACGGTCTCGGCTCGAGAGGAAGAACGTCAGAGAGTGAGGCCGTCGTACCGTCCCGGAACGCCATCGCGCGAGACTCCAACACGCAGAGGCTGGACAAGATCCTGAACGACGCCGCACTCCGCTTGCTCTTCAGAGAGAACCTCAGGGAAACGCACTGCGAGGAGAACCTGTCCTTCTACCTCGACGTGGACGACTTTGTTCGAAGTTGTCGGGGAGCAATCAGGGTCGCCCAGAAGAACCCCAACGCGAGCTCGTTGGATGGGATCAAGGAGATCATGGCGCAGGCCTACGGGATTTATAATGCATTCCTCGCCCCCGGTTCTCCATGCGAGCTGAACATCGATCACCAACTCCGCAACAACCTGGCCACCAGAATGACCAAGGCCGTTGGCCAAGACGTCGCGATGATCGACACTCTGCAAGAGGTTATGTCTTTGTTCGAGGACGCCCAAAATGCAGTCTTTAAACTGATGGCGAGCGTATGTTTGGCCTTTCCGTAGTTGCAGTTGGAAATGTTTTTCTTTTGTTTTGGATCCGTGAGCTAACCCGATTTTCGCAGGACTCGGTCCCCAAATTCCTGAGAAGCCCTAAGTACGAGCATACCCTGAAGAACTACGACTTTGACGCAGTGCCGGGCGCCGCCCGCGGACTGGAGCGTAGCACGAGCCGATCGAACCGCAAATGAGCAAGGTCAGCATGACACAGTTCGACTCAAACAAGTGAGAGACGGCCGATCAAGCGCCCAATCTCACCACGACGCGACGGATTGCACACCCAGGATCGCCTCTTCGGCGCAGGTCCGCGCAGTTCAGGCTGGCATGCACGGCACTTTCCCCGAACCATAATCTTGTGCATAACACGGTGGTCTCTGATTCATTACCAGGCGGCAGGCAGCATCTTTCACCTTTTGACCGGGGGGGAGGGTCGCGCTCGAGCCGATCTTTGTCGCCATCTGGATTCTTTTGAAAATGAAGGCGTTGGGGATGGACTATTCTTAGAAGGAGACCCCATGAGGCGGCGAAACCGAGTCCGCGAGACATGATCACGTCATCATCATCATTATCATCATCATCATCATCATCATCATCACATGCGGACTTACTTCTGTTTCTTCACCTTTTTTTGTTTTTAATTTCTCACATTTGTTCGAATCATAACGGGCTGGCGGGGCGGACGATCATAGAAGGACGGCATGATAGCGCAGGTCTCAACCACGACCCCAGAGACGAGCTAACGGCGACCGATGAAGGATTTTCGCGATCAGAAAGTGGAGGACAAAGGCACTTCCGCTGCCTGTTGGCACGCTGGAAGTGGATGTCCTGTAGACATCACAACAAGAAAGAACTAGCTTTGAGGAAAAGGGGGGGTTGCAAAATAGGGAGGAGAGCGGTCGTGGAGCGACCTGACTCATTTGTACATATCTCAGAGCTCCCCGATCCAACTTGGGGAAAGATGCTCAACCTTCCGACTTGACCCTGAATAAGAGGAAAGCAGATGAAAGTGGTATCATGCCTTTGCAGTGCCGGGAATGCTGTTTTGATGAAGTGCGGAAAAATCTTGAATTCGAGGGAAACAGCCGGCGGGTGGGCTTTCTCCCCCTCCTGCCGTTCCCATGTGGTGTGCATCTCTTGCGTCGAACCACTCTGGACCTGACGACTGGAATGTGCCACATTACCGGCGGCCGGTAGACGCATTCTTGGTTGTTTGGCGGGCCATAACAAACACGGCTCCGGGAGGCTCTCTGCCAGCATTTCTAGCCGCGGAGCCGGAGGTTCTCATTGGACCTCGAGGGGCGCATCGATGGGAGAAGGGAAAACACCCGTAATCTTAACTCGACATGTTCCTGGACTGACCGGCGCTTCGATGGGGGGTTTTCTTTTTTGCTTGTGTTATGTACCTCTTCAACTGGCATTCAACCCCCTGAACGCTCCGTGCCGGTGGTGTCGATGGGTATTGATGTTTGTCTATCGGAAAGGGGGTGGGATCGTAATGGTTGCAGGTGAACATAAAGAGAGGCCCTCAAACCACCCTCTGACTGACACGCTCTTTCCTTCCCACCCGTCACACACACACACACATACACATATCTCTTCTTACATCACAGGACTCGTATCTTTCGTTTGTTTGGAGGTTCCCCCCCTCGTTTTGCATTTCAGTTGCTATTACTGGCCCCAGTCACTCGCTTACACCCAGAAACACAAAACAAACACATCGCAAAGCGCAACACACCATTTTCCTTAGTCAGAGCATCTTTAATCACTACTACTACCTATACTTATTGTGCTCGAGACCCTCGAATCTCGGAAAGAAGCTCGACTCCCTACTCCGAATCTCCCGACAGACAACCACCCATCCATCCGCCAACAACACCCACGCCAGCAAAAAAGACATCACACACGATGCGGATCTCATCCGCCCTCGCAACCACCGGCCTCTTCGCCGCCGCCGGCACCGCCTCCGCCGTCCTCCTTAACCCTACCGGCATCCACTTTCCGGGCTACAACGGAACGGGTATCCGCACCATCACCAAGGTGTGGGACCACGTGACGACGTACTGCCCGGAGCCGACGACGCTGTACTACAACAACCGCACCTACACCATTGACAAGCCAACCACCTTCATCATCCCCGACTGCCCTTGCACGCAGACTTACGTGAGTCCTGTCCCCGGCCCCCTGTTTCCATCTTCTAGGTGTTCGTTCCTCTGTGACGCTGCTTCGGCTCCATCTTCTGATGAAGGGCAAGTGAGACCCTATCAGCCGAACGCAGTAGGAGAACAGACATACGTTAAGCAGAACCCTGCTAACATACACCCTCCCGCAGACCACGACCTACGTTCTCCCTACCCCGCCGGCCCAGACCGACAGCGCCGCTCCTTCCCCGGCGTGCCGACTGGAGTCCCTGGAGTCCCGGGCACCACGCCCACGGCTCCCGGCCAAAACCCCGGCAGCACACCGTCCGTCGTCGTCACCGCCGGCGCCGAGAAGCGCGCAGCTGCCGGCATAGCTCTGGTCGCTGGCGTCGTGGCCGCTCTTGCCCTGTAAAGCGAGACCCTTGCGGACATGTAACCCTCTCGAAAGCATCTGCTCGGTCTCGTGACCCCCGCTGGACAAGTTGACTGACGCCTCCGTTTGGGCCTCGGGCGCCGGGCCCCACGTTGATTGGGGAGAGACTCACAGAGAAGCGGGAGGGCCGGGGACACTGGGGGAAGGGGGACCGGGGGTGAAGTGAAGCCAGATTCATCTGCTGCGCCTTCTGCATCCTTTGGCCCCCCTTTCCCTGTCCGCGGCCCTGCCCGCTTCTTCAACCGTCATCTCTTCCTTTGCGCGGGGCTCGGCGTCTCTTGGTTTCGGAGGTGGTTTCGGCCAACGACTCCGCGGGGAGACCGGGAACGACGGGCTTCGGGAGAGGGGGTCCCCTGGTCCACCACAGCATCGTTATCACTCGTATCTTGTCGTTTTCTTGCTGCGCGTCTTGGCGTTTGCCCGCGCCCGCCATCATAATCTATCATGTCTTATGCCACGTTTAATGCCTGACGGCCGATGTTTCCAGAGACGAGAACACCAAAGGAGGTTGTCCAGAGAGGAGGAGAGAAGAGAGAACAGAAGGGGGGGCGAGACGAGAGAACGAGAGAGGAAAACAGAGAGCCAGAACTATCGCGGAATCCGCTGGAACCCGGGTGAAAGACTGGGGGAAGGGCGGATCCGCTTACAGTGGATGAGGGGACGGACAACTCTCCTTTGTAAGAGGCCTTCTTTATTTATTTAATTGATCCCTTTTTTGGGGGATCTGTTCTTGTTTCTATTCGAAGAAAGGGGGGGAAGGAGGAGGAAGGAGGGTTTGCGTGCGTGCGGTATTATTATCATGCTCAAAAACATCGTTTACCCTCCCGTCATTATCCCTAATCCCAGGCGCTATCTTACCTTTGCCTTGCATTTCTTATCCTTTCTTTCTATACTTCTTTTATAGACTTATCCCGTTTTTGTGTGTGTGTGTCACAAATGGAAGGCCCTCGGGCCAGAAGCGGACTCGGTAAAGTGTCAGTTGTATCCCTTTTTCAATATTTTGCCCCCCCCCCCCCGCGTTGTGAGAGTGCGAGCGACGCTCTCCCCCGGGGGAGAGAGGGTTTGTCGACGAAAACAACGCGTAACTCGCGTCTCTCCGCCAAGTAACCAAGACTTGCTAGGCGTGTGGGACTGTAGGGCGTTGAGAATGCTGTGAAACGTAGTAGAATCACTCTCATCAAACAATGGAACGAGGGGGGGGGGGGGGGGGCGGATAACATTCAAGAGGACAAAAAGGGCACGTCGTCACCAGACCGGTACCTCGAGCAGCATTTACATACATCGCCGTACCGGTATGTTGGCCCGGTGTGGGCCAGTGGGCGCCAAGATGGCACTGGCCGGCATCCAAGCATGCTTGCTTGCCAATTCCGGAAGGCTGTGCCGCAACGTCACATACACACTGCAGGATGCAAGATGACGAAAATACGACTTCGGGGCGGCCTCTAAAAAACGTTTCATGAATTGCAATATATGGGTATCGATCTTTCTGACTAACACGCTGGCACCAGGCCCAGGACACTGACACGAAAATGATTCCCCTTTACACGGGGGATAAGAGAGCCCGGCTCACTCCAGCTCGGCGACAAACGGCCCCTGCAGAGCCCCGCCGCTGCTCTGGTGCTGTCCTGCAGCACGCTGGTGCGCGTCGCCGCCGGACACGTTTCCTGTGTACGGCGACGAAGGCGGCGGCTTGGTGCCGTAGGGGTTGCCGCCAAGGTCCGAGTAGTTTCCGTGGGTGTAATTGTTGCTGCTGCTGTCGCCGGGCTGCGATCTGGAATCCGGCCGCGACAGCCTCAGAGATGACGTCGAGTTCGCGGAGGTGTGGCGGATCCGCAGGGGCTCCGGGTAGGCCGCGCTCTGAGCGCCATCGCAGGCTGGCGCGGGCGGGGACATGGGATACGACGGCCTGTATGGCAGGCTGGTTTGGTTGGCGGCGAGGTTGCTGTAAGCCTGGCTCTGATGAGATTGATGAGCAGGCGTATTTGACGCGCCGTTGGCGTCGGAGCCGGACTGTGAAGCCTGGCTGCTATGCCGCTGATGGGCGGCAGCTGCGGACGCCTGCTGGACCTTGGACTTGATGCGGTCGACCAACAGACCGTGGCTCTTCTTGAGCGTCTTCTTGACGAAGGAACTGGTGAAGACGTTGCAGCGCATGTCGACGTCCTCGCGGATGTACAGCCCCGTCAGCGGGGCACCGATGCCGAGCTCGACGGGCTCGACGGGCTCACCGGGCAGACAGCCGGCGACGGTCCACTTGTCGCGGATCTCGAGGCCCATCGGGGCGTAGCAGTGGGTCTGCAGGCCAGTAGGCAGGTTGTGGAAGCAGCAGGTATAGCTGACATCGCCGGTGGCCATGCCGCCAGGCAGGTAGGAGATCTCGTCGGTGAGGGAGTACCAAGCGCAGGCGTGCTCCTCCGGGGGCGCATGAGAAGGGGCAGGGATGAGGTGGCGCTCCTTGATGAGGGGGTTCAGGTCGATCATCTCAAGGTGGTTGTGGAGGAAGCCGAGGACGGCCTCACGGGTAATACCGGCGGGGAGGGGCGAGATTGTGGTGAAAGTTGAGCGTTTCGACATGGTTGATGCGTGAGGGGGGGCGTGGATGGGAAGATGCGGGTGTTAGAAGACGAGGGCGAGGGAGGGTTGTAAACCATGCGATGCGCGAGACGTAGATGTGAGCGTATAGGGGGTTGAAGATGTGAGGTGAGTTTAAGGTTGTCAAGGTCCAGGTTGAGAGGGTAGTGTAGTCGGCGTGCTGGGTCGAAGTTGGGACGGAACGCGGGTTGAGAGTTGGACCGCAGGTGGGTTCAACAAATGGTAGAAACAGGGGGGCTCGGGGAAGGAGTTGGTGAGGAAAATGGGGTTTATGTCTGTTGTAACGTGGTGTCGATCGGCAAAGAGGCCTGCTGAGAAAAAAAGGAAGAAAAAAGCGCAGGTTGTGCGGACGAATCGAGTAGATGATGGGTTGTGCTGCCTCGGAGGCTATGCCAGCTGGGGGAGGCAGCACGCGGAGACGGAGGACGGAGGCGCAGAGGCGGCCGGGTGCGATGCAGCCCGCGGGGCGTAGCGCTGGTAGTGGGCGTACGCAGCGCGGTGAGGCCGGATTGCGCGCTTGTTGGGTTCTCTGTCGGAAGGGAGAAGAGCCGGTAAGACGGGCGGGCGAATGAAAGACGCCCTGTCAGTACCCGGGGACGAGCTAGGTGTTGATGTAAGCGGCAAGACGACGGGACAGCCGCAAAAGAGAAGCCAACGCCGCGGGTTCTGGAGTCGGTGTATGAAACGAGGTAAAATAAGGAAGGCCAGGTCGACGCGCAAGTGGTTAATTCTTGTTAAACCAAGACAGAAATGACGGGTAGGAAGCTAACAGTCTGGAGGGGGCGGAGGAGGAGGAAGAAGAGCGGGAGCTAGTTCAGTAGTGCTCGTATCCCACACGGCGAATGGTCGGTCAAGCGTGCCAATCCGACATTGGAAAAAGTCAGAGACAGGAGCGCTCGGCTGGCCTGGTGGTTTAAATTTCCGAGGAGGAGCGGGCGGCCGCTTTGCACGAAGGAAGGAGCACATTCGTAGGTAGCTGCTGCTGCCGCCACACAGCCCGTCGCTTGTCGGCTCGGATGTCTGTCGCGCCCATCTCATAGTACCGGTAGCTCCCAGATCGAACCAAGATCGGCCCAGCCCCAACTGCTTTTCATTGGTTGTCAGCCACCAGACGAAAGATCTGGAATGCCTTAAAATAAAATAAAAACTCGCCGTGGTGTAAGCTAGCGTACGAGCATCCCGAACTCTGACCGGGGATGTTTATTTCTCGGCGCGCAAGGCTAAATCGGCTTCTTGGGCAGTGGTTGAGACTCGAGACGGACAAGACGGACGGGAGAGAGTCAAGACAGAGAGGCCCACCCATTTGTGGTGGTGGTGGTACCTAGTGCAGTACCATGTACTCGGTGTACCTCCTGCAGTAGGTACTTTTGCCAAAAACGAAAGAAAAAGAGGACCAGGGTCCCGACATGTGCGGAATCAAGGCCGCAACGTGGCGGCCGCCGGACGGGTGGGACCCCTTCCATCGACTGAACCCGGTGCTAGGTACCTGAACTAGATGTCATTGTGTCGGTTGCCCACGCCCCCCGCGATTCCACTACTGCGTCGACATCCCGAACTGAGTTGCATGCCCGCCCACAAACCGCCCGACGACGGCATGCGGCTTCTCTTTGCCATTACTAGGCATTACTACAGTATGGTTTCCATCCCTGGGGTGTTGGGTAAAGCAGAAAGAACAGGCCTGCTCCCGACGCCTCTTTCTCTGTGGTCTCTGGCGCCAGAATGTTGGGAGCGAGCCGAGGATGAATGACGGTGAATTAGCGAACCCCAGACTCTCTCTCGTGGCCCCCTTGCAAACGTGCCGTCGTTGATCCCGCCTGCGCGCCGGTACTTGGGGACTAAACCTCCTTTGGGACGACTTACATGCGACGTTACTTGGCAAGCGGCCGCCCCGGTACTCGTCACCCCGTCACGTCCGCGTCTTCCCAACGACGGCGGCCGCCAGAATCTACCAAAGTCCTTTTGGAAGGTGGAAAAAAAATTCGACAACCAGATGCATGGTCCATTCCATAATACCTATTACACAACCACCCGCGCTAGCGTGCGCTGTGCTGTTCGAAAGTGTGTCTTGGCCACGGGGCAAGTTCGTCCACCCGATGCATACGAGCGGGCCAAAGGAGGAAGACGGCGAGAGAGACCTGGATGATCAACGGTTTCACGACAGAACGTCCCCCGACCCCGAAGATCGCCCGGCTTAGGCTCTCCATCCACAATCCTCCTGAAGATCAGCCTCAAAGTACCGGTCGAAGGGATCGCAACCCAACCCGCACGTGTATCGGCCAGAAGGGTACCAGGCAGCCGAGTAGAAACGACATCACATGGATCTCCACGGCCCCTCTGCATAGAGTGCTGACAAGTAGAGCCTCAGCTCAGGAGTCACCCCGCCAGGGACAACACTGAGGTCAAGACTCGTCGTACCTTCCCATCTCCAACGCTCCTTTTGGTTACCTCTGCGCTGCCGTGGAAGGACTTGGATTCAATATGTTGCGCCGTCGTCGAAATGGGTACATCCACCAAGCATGAGTTACCCCTGCTGCGCTCATCGTTCTAAAGGGTACCTGGTGATGATGGCCACGGCATGTTAGTGATAGTGACACGTTCACATGGCAATTTCATCTGCGCCCAGGCTGAGGACAACGCCCAAGCAAGAAATCTTTCTGCTCAAGAAGTACTCTGTATAGTGTAATTACAAAAGAAAGAAAGAGGGGGCCGCCCGCCGACACCATCATTGCTCGTGTAACTCTGTATCACTAATCGTTCATCACTCATCAACCCCAACCCCTTGAAACCCTTACTAGCACTCGTCGTCAACCTCTGGAGAGTAAGCTGCCTGCATAGCATCATTCCACACCTGGGCGGCGGTAATGTGACGATCGAGACCACATCGCGCCTCCTATGGCGCCGCACCGTCGGCGCCGTCGCACCGTTACTCGATTCTCCAGAACGCCAAACACGCCCTGCGAGACTCGCATACAAAGCGCAACGCAGTCGTGGCGCCAGCCTTGAACGTTTACAGTATCCAGCTCGGCAATAGGGCTCGAACTTGGCTTTCCCCCTCACATCGCCATCACGTCCAAGGCCGTAACAGTAAATCTCCACGCGTAGCAGCTTCAGCCCCCATCGTAGCTGATGCACGAGGGGGCTTGTTACCAAGTGCATTAGGTCATGATCTATGTACCTATTCTCGTTCGTGTGTAACATCCATGTTGTCGTAGGAATGCGCCCTGAACCGATGCCATGCTGCTTCAAATCTCCTTACACCACCTCGCCAACACGTTGTTCAACTTCACCCCGACAGGTATCTCCTCTAGCGCCATGTCGACCTTCCACATCTTCCCTTCCAGCCCGCCGTACCCGGACGCCCGGCCGGTGCCCAGCCCTGCCGGCACCAGCAACCCCAGAGCGACGAGCCGTTCCCACGCCAGCCCCGCGACCCCGCGGCCCCACACCCGCACGCCGCCGCCCATTGCCAGCATGCCCGAGCTCGCCGACTGCACGCGCTGCCGGCCCATTAGCGAGCCGTACTCGTCGTACGCCATCGCAAAATTGACCGTATCCGTGTGCGCCACGATATCGAGCCGCGCTGCTGCGATGAGGAGGCCCAGGTCCAGCTCCGAGAGCGACGGTAGGATGTGCAGCTTGGAGTTTGGCGATGTGAGGGAGACAACGGGACCGGCCTGCGGAGGGATGACGAGGTTGAAAGAATCCGTTGACAGAGATGACAAGGGGAGTATGCATTCGGATAGGAATGCCGAGACGGATTTCGACGTTACGTAGTGGTATTGCAGGAGGTTCTGGAACGATTTCTCCTTGTATAGGACCTGTAGCCGGGTAAGTTGTGGACCTCTTTCATGTTTATAGGACACCTACTTCGATCATCGCCTTCCAGTTGGCATGGAAAGCTTCGTGCCCTGCGACACTCACATCGATACCCTCAACTTCCATGTCATCATCGTCCACAACCAGACCTTGCTTGCACAATTTCCAGTATGCCGGCAAGCTCTTCGGGAGCGACAAGTAGACATAGCGATGGCTGAATCGACTCTTGACACGCTTCTCGAGCATTTCCACGACGTCCATGCGGGTCGTGCAGCCCAGCACCGCAATGGGGGCCTTCCGCGCCTGCGCGATGTCGAATAGGTTATAGAGCAGGGTTTGGCGGGGGTGCGCAGCAAACATGTCGAACTCGTCGATGACGAAGACGACCGCCTGCGAGGTCACGCCTTCTTCCGCCTGAGCCATTTCTGATGGGTGTGAGAGCAGAGCGAGCAGTGAGGCCATGGTGTCGGCGTAATTTGACTGCGGGAGGTGGTTAGCGATGCCCGCTCAGCTAGTTCATTGGTAGGCACTCACCCGAGCATTGCCTGCGTCCTCCGCATCCATCTCCTTGCCTAACTGCCTCCAGATGTCCTTCAGAGCTAGCTTGTCGTCGGTGTGGATAAATCCGTTCAACCTCACCACATGAAACTCTTGCTTGTGCTGCAGAGACATGTCGTCAACAATACTCTCAACGAGCTACTACACGTTAGTCTCAGTCTGTTGCCCGGCGATCTTGTGACATACCGTAGTCTTGCCGCAGCCCCTAGCGCCAATGATGAGCATCGAGTTGCCTTCTCCCGATAGAATCGTCTGCTCGACCAGCTGATGTGCTTTCTCCATGGCTTCATCCTGGTCAATCAGCTTGATTCGTCTGCGCCCGGTACAGCGATCCAGCAACACCCTTTTCAGATTGCTCAGGTGTTGCTGGAAATTAGGTATCTTCACCGCCTCGTCCGCAGCCGTCGCTCGTAATTGTTTCTGCTGGACGCACTCATTGCAGTACCAGTCGCCACGGGGAACTTTGGGAACTTTGTAGCACTTCTGGTGATAAGCCTTGTCGCAGCCATCGCAGAACAGAATCCGGTTCCCCGGCTTGGAGTCGGGTTTTGAGCATATCAGGCAGACGTCTTCGTCCTCTTCTGCGTCTGGCTCCTCCACCTCCTCTCCCTCCTGTTCTTCTTCTTGTGCCTCGGTTTCCTCTTGCGTCAGCTCTTCCTCTACCACCTTCGCAGGCGCTTTTCGTGGCTTTGCAGATTTTGTCACTGCTGTCTCCGCCTCCATGAGTTTCTGCGAAGGATTCCGACCTCTCCCAGACTTGGTCGCAGATTTGATGGGAAGATCTTCGAAGAAAACCTCCTCTGTTTCCTGGGCATTGACCGAGTCGAAGGCAACACTCTTGCTTCTCCTTGGCGTACCATCCCGCTTGGACGGCGTCAAGATGCCTTTCAGGGGCATAGAAATGTTGCGATTCGTTTTTGTGGTGGTCTTCGAACTCACAGCATCTTTTGCCGCTGCGGATGACCTTGCGCGGGACGTCGGGGTGGCTGAACGGCTTGCCAGCTTCTCTTCCTGGACTTCAAGGATCTTTGCGGTTGGGATCCTACGTCTTCCGCTTGACCGTACCTGTGAGGACGACTGCTCTGTCGTAGCAACCTCATCGTCCTGATCCGCCATCTTCTTCGTTATCTGCTGTCGAGACGTCCGTTTTTTAACCGGGTTTCCTGTATCGGTCTTGTTCGTCTCTCCGTTGGCCGCACCAATGCTCTTCCTCTTCGTGGGACTCGTCTTCAGCGCATTCACCTCCTTCGGGCTCGAGCGTAGCTCGTCGTCGGAGCCAGGTATTTCGTATATGTCATCTTCGATGTTGCGATGAGGCGGGATTGGAACTTTGCCGGTCGGTCGGTCTACGCTTCTAACATTTCGGATCCGTTGTGGCGGGTTGTCTTCGGGGGAGTCTGGTACGTCATAGGCCGAGACGGGAGACGATTCTGTCTTGCGGGCAGTTTTCTTGACGGTCGAGGAGTTGGCGCCAAGGTTGGTTTTGGGTGTCGTCGGGGACGAGGCGAGAGGCTTGCCGTTGGCGTCCAACTTTCGCCTTTTGAAAGACCATGGAATTGCAGGCTCTCGAGCTACGGGTGTAGCTCGAGTACGCTTGAGGCTTTCGTTACTGCCGTCAGGACCCATACTCGAGGTCAATCGCGGGCGCAAGAGGTCGAAATCAGGTAAGCCCGGCGGAAAACGAAGGAAGCTTTCGTTTGCACGTCTCAGGGGAGACGGATGAATAGTCCAGTAGCTCCAAGCTGCCAAGGTCACTAGGGAATTTTGGATAGTTGCAAGGGTCCAACGCGTTAACTGAGGTTGAGCGCGCTGTACCCTTGCCGGCATGGTCCAAGCGCCCAGCACCGGTTGCCGTGCCGACCACCATGATACTGGACACGACTTAGGTCCAGGGGCACACCTCCCCACAGGTGTTGTCGGCCGGAAGCACCAGAACACGGTCTTAGCCCGAGCTCCGGATCCAGACTTTAACTTTGAAGCTCACTGAAAAGCTATTGGAGAATCATGATGCTCAAAAAAAATGGATGCGTTTTTGCCATTCTGCTCAAAAATTATCGCGGTCATAACTTATGCCTGATGCTGCCTAACGCCTGCAATGAAAACCGATTCCTACAATCCAAGTCTTGCTCCCCTGCAAGAATATACAAGCCTTTGCTAAGCCTTCTTAGTAGCCGTTCCACCCTGCCTACTGATATCCTCATGAGCGCGTTCGCATGTGTATCCAACACAGCTGTCAACCAACCACAGAAAAGTAACAACGCCAAGTCTGGACGACTCTCAAATCAAGTCTTTGCTCATCTCGTAAGACCAGCCGCCTTCTCTGCGCAACTTGTCGCGAGCTGCGAGATCCTTTCTGATTTCGTCTTCTGTCAGACGATCCGATCCACTCCAGTTAGCACTCGACGTTCGCGCGCGGAACTTGTGCCACCTCTCCTTGTTGCTGAACACTTCCTCCATATTGAGGGCACGTGGGGGTCCGAAAACTTCCTTGGGATCAATAGTCTCCTGCCGCATCAGGGCACGTCTCAAGTCGGGAGAATCGGCCCAGGGCGCCACGCCGAAGTGTGAGTCTTCCTCGTCTTCGTCTTCGTCCGTGTCGATTTCGGGCAGTTCAATCTTCTCACCATCCTGGAAACGAGGCGATGACCTTGTGGCCTTCGCGGTCGACTTGGTGCTCGCAGTGCCCATGGGCCGTGCCGGTGTCTTGTGGGCTGGGCCAGCGGGATTGGGGTTAGGAGCAAATGGGATATGCCCTTGGGCGAACTGGTTCATGTCCACTTGCTTGGCCGACTTGATTGTGCTGTGGTGTTGAGCGGTAACAGTAGACTTGAAAAGGTCCCTGGATGCACTCGGCGGTGCGTTGGTATAGCCGTACATCGACTTGGTAGGCATCTCCTGCTGTTTCATATTAGCCAGTGCAGCAAGTGACCCGTCCGTTGCGCGACATACCTTCTTGAAGCCGACTGATGGCGGACGAACAGGAGGCCCCTTGATATTGGGTGGTTGGATGTCCATGTCAAGCTCATCAGCGAAGTCGTCGCTTGTGCGACGGCGCTTGGCTTCCTTGGACTGGTAGGCTGGGCCGTTGCGGGGAGGAGGGTTGCGCGAGCTCGTCTCCTCCCTGCCGTCTTGCGGAAGCGGCCTCTTGGAGCCAGGCTTAGAGGCATTCGAAAGAACAGCATTGACTGGTCGATCCTCTTGAGATCGAGAGGCAGCGGAGTTCATGCGAGAAGGTGGTCGAGGAGGCTGGCCATCGCTGCGCTGGCTTGCAGTGTAGTCGGGAGGGCCATTTGGCTGGGATCGCACAGCAGGGGGTGGTGCTCGAGTCTGCTTGGCACGCTCAATGGCTGCCTGTCTTTGTGCGTTCTTTTTCGCCTCGGCATCCCTCTCCCTTTGTCTCTCTGCTTCCTGTCGCCTCTGCGATTCCTGTTTGCGCTCCTCCTCCTGAATAGCAGCGCGCTTGCGTTCCAGCTCGAGCTTGGCATCTCTCTTTCTCTGGGCTTCCCGCTCCTCTTGTTCCTTCCGCTTGGCGGCAAGCTCAAGCGCTTTGGGTCGGCCATTGGAAGAAACAGAGCTCTTCAGGCTTGCCAGGGATTGCTTGCTATGCGAACCTGGTTGACTGGTCTTGGACTTAACCGACGAGCCAAGAGTGTCTTGGAGACCAGAGGACAGAGTGCTGGTCGAGGGGTGGTACTGCGAGTGTTGCGAGCCGGTGTTAACACGAATGACGGTAGGCGCTTGCTTGACCTTGCTAGGTGCCTCCTTTGTTGGTTTCGTCGGGCGACGGAGTTCTCTGGGTCTCGCTGTCTGGCTCGGACCAACAGACCGAGGTGCGGAGGGCGGCGGCATCGGGGTCGGCGCTTCGGTCATTTCCACGTCCGGCTTCTCTAACTGCGAAGCCTGCGCCGAGGCTTCGACGTCGCCCTGGTTCTTGGCCTTGCGGGGGCTAGTTCTGGTGGGCTTGGGCGCCTCTTTTGGTGCCGGCGTTCGAGCAGGTCTCTCCATCTCCTTCTCCTGTTCCTTTTCGGACGCTGCCTCCTTCTGTGCGGCAATCCTCTTCTCCATAGCAGCAATCTTCTCCTGTTCCTTGCTGAAAGTTCGAGCCTTTTCACGCTCCTCTGCACGAGCCTTGTCCAGCTTGCTCATCTGGTCAGCCATCAGTTTGGCTTCTTTCTCCTTGCGTTTGTCCTCCTTTTCCTTCTCGACAGAAGCCCTTGTTCGACGTGCGACAGGCTTTTCAGGGCTTCCCAGACTGGTAAGCGTCTGTGCATCGGCTGCGATGCGCTTGGAAAGATCAGGGTACAACGGCTCAGCGGGGGCTTGCTGGGGCGCGATTGACTCTGTGGATGGACCAGAGTGAAGACCAAACCGAGTAGTGGATGGTGACATGAGCGACGATTTGCCCTCAGCGCTGATTGCCGCGCTGCTCGCAAGAAGACCCTTTGAGCTCTTCAGAATAGAAGACAGCTTGTTCTTCACTTGCTTCAGCGGGCTGTCCCGGAAGCTTCGCGTAGGCGACTGAGGAGTCTCCGGATGTCCGTCTTCTAGCACCGCTGACAGTGGGTTAGAAACGGAGACGTGTTTCTTGGCGGGCGACAAGTCTTCAACCATTTTGCCCTTCGACAGATCGGGCAAGACGGAAACGGATGCAGATTTGCCATGGCCGAAGACACTAGTGGTACGCTCAGGAATGACAGGGGCACGCTTCGGTGAGCCAGATCGGCCAGGTGATTGCCGCTGCTTGGGCAGGCCAAACTCAGGGCCGCTGATGGTATCAGCCCCATCGATGCCTTCCATGACGTCTGCAGTATGGCTCTTAGACAAGTGCGGGCGTGGGCTGGACTGGGGCGTGTCCTTTGCAGGAACGGGCGGTGCAATCCAGTCATCTTCTTCCTCCTCATCTTCGGGGAATGCTCCAGGAGTTGGCGGTGCGGCTGATTTCTTCGTTGGCGATGCTGTCTTGACTTCTGCTGCGGGTTGAGGTGCACTGGCTTGAGCAAGTTGTTGGGCAACCGCGGAGCTTGGGATCGATTTCGAAGGTCTGCTTGCATTCGGCTGAGATTTGCCAAGCAAATTGATCTGGTCTTGGAGTCTCTGAGTATATGTCTTGTTGTGGTTAGAGGCGTAGCTGTCGCTCTCTTTCGTCGCCTCGGTTGAGTCGTCGACATTCATTTCGTCGTCGTTGCCTTCCTCATCATCTGAAGCTCCAAGCAGCTCAATATTGTTTCCCAAACTCTTGCCTTCGGTTTGTCTACTATAGTAACTCTGGCGGTGGTTATCCAGATGGCTGGTTCTGGAAACGCGAGCCCCGATGCTCTTGTTCTTCAGGGGCTCTCTAGCGGGAAGCGAAGCAAAGTTGAGACTGCTCTTCCTAACTGGTCGGATCGGGCTCGACTCGTCGGATGGGGAGCGCGTATCTTCATCCATGTGCACATCCACGTCGTCTTGTGAATTAGCCATGGGTGTAGGTTCGCGCACAGGGGACGGAGAACCCCTAGGCGAGAGCGAAGGGGACGGGGACGCCTGTTTAGCCGGAGAACGCTTCATAGGCGATGCCTTCGTGGGCGATGCGACCTTCGCAGAGCGAGGTTCAGGAGAAGCTACTGGGGATGAAGGAGTCTTCGCACGCTTAGACGAGCTGTGAGGTGTCGATGAGGCTCCCGAGGCGGGTGATGGGGCCTCTTCGGTTATATCTCTCATGACTCTTGTCGTCTGCTCTTCCTTGGCAGTCTGGAAGGTGACTTCAGGTGATCGCATAGTCCTCGTCACGGTCGGGCTTTGAGGCGCGTTTTGTTCGGCTGTGGCGTCGAATGCTACATGTCCGGTACGTCCTGTGGTCTTGGGTGGGCTAGATCGTGGCTCTCCGATTTCTGTCTCCTCCTCGATGAGGTCAACGTCCATATCGTCGTCGACATCGTCTACGTTGTCAACGTCCTGGCTGCCATAGTATCCGGAATCGGCTAGGGCAACGGGCTGTTTCGAAACCGGTCTAGGCGAGGGGGCAGCTTTGTGCGGCGAAATGTTCCTGTTGACCAAAGGAGACGACGTCGATTGTGCAGGGTTGACCTTGGGGGTGGTGCGAGCAAGTTGTTGCGTGAAGGCGTTTGGCGCGCCATTGGGCGTTGAAGAAAACACATCCGACAGTGGCTACAGGCTGTTAGCAAAAGAGCGGTATGCGTGGAGATTGGGCACCTTACGACACGGGGCTCGCCGTTGTCGGCCTTACGCGCTGTTCGCGGCGTCTTGCTGCGAAGCTTACCGGGAGTCTTGAAAATCTCGGCAACGTTGCTATTCATTCGGTTAGCAGAAGACCCATAGCTGGCGGCAGGGCCGAACATACATCTCGTTCTCATTGAAGATGCCAGCCATGTGCTCGTTGAGCCAGTCGAATTCGTTTCTCGCGGCGAACGAGAACTCCTCAGCCTCAGCCTGGACAATGCTCAGAGCCGTCGTCCTTTCTTCGTTGATCCATGACGCAGAGCCGACAGGCACACGCGTTCCTCGTATCGTCGCCATCGTGAGGGGTAGAGTCGCGACGCGAGCAAGAGAGTCGCTGTGAAGGTAAGAGAAAATGCTAGCTGGTCATCGAAGCCGAAACGGTAGTCAAAAGGGCGTGGCAAGGTGGTTGCTTGAGAAGAAGAGGGAGGTTAGTAAAAAGTGGGAAGCACACAAAAGCTGTATGGATGTGCAATGGTGTTGATGGACCTGGGTTTGAATTGCGTTGCGAACCGATTGTTTTGGTCGAGTCCGCATTCGGCTTAGCGCAACCAAAGCCCGTGGGGCTGCCCTGGCTGGGGCAATGACAGTCGCGCTTGTGGGAGACTCGCTGTTGACTGCCACCGATAAGAGCGTTATCGGGGCGGCAGGGCGGGAGGGCCCCCCTACCTCAGGAATCGAGAAGGGGGGTCAAGTGGAAACGCGACCGATCGAAAGTAAACAAAAAGTCCTTGACACCGACAACAGTCCTCAGCAACACCATCGCCAACCACTAACTACTGCAGCATGAGGGTCATAGAAGTTATTATAGACGTATGCGATCCGATTTCCTCAGCAAACTTGCCTTTGCTAACTGATCCCAGGGCTTCAAGTCGTATGCCGTGCGGACGGTGATTTCGGGATGGTAAACAAACACTGCTTCAGCCGAGAGGGGACCGGTAGCTCACACAACACAGGGACGAAACTTTCAACTCGATCACCGGCCTCAACGGTTCCGGCAAGTCCAACATTCTGGACGCCATCTGCTTCGTTTTGGGTATCACCAATATGACGACAGTTCGAGCGCAAAACCTCCAGGTGCGGAAGCCTTGGTCTCGGATTCTCTGCTGGTCTGGTGGACGTTGACGCTGATGCTATTCTTAACAGGACCTCATCTACAAGCGCGGCCAAGCCGGTGTCACGAAAGCGAGCGTTACGATTGTTTTCGACAACAGAGATAAGAAGAAGTCACCCATCGGCTTTGAAGAGTATGCGACCATCAGTGTAACTCGACAGATCGTCCTGGGCGGCACGTCCAAATACCTCATCAATGGACACCGCGCACAGCAACAAACAGTACAAAATCTCTTCCAGTCCGTTCAGCTCAACATCAACAACCCCAACTTCCTCATCATGCAGGGCCGAATCACGAAGGTCCTGAACATGAAGCCTGTCGAGATTCTGGCCATGATCGAGGAAGCTGCAGGAACACGAATGTTCGAGGACAGGAGAGATAAAGCGCTCAAGACGATGGCCAAGAAGGAGATGAAACTCCAGGAGATCACAGAACTGCTTCAGGACGAAATCGAGCCCAAACTCGAAAAGCTCCGGACAGAGAAGCGCGCTTTCCTCGATTTCCAACAAACACAAAACGACCTCGAACGCCTTACAAGGGTCGTTGTCGCGCACGACTACGTCCGCTGTCAGGAGAAGCTGGCGCAGTCTGCAGCAGACTTGGAGGGCAAGAAGCAACGACAAAAAGATCTTGAGGAGTCGGCGGCACGGCTAAAGAGCGAAATTTCCCATCTCGAAGAGGACGTCAAACGAGTCCGCGCACAACGCGACAAGGAACTGAAGAAGGGGGGGAAGGCACAGGGTCTTGAGGACGCTGTGAAGAAGCATTCGAACGAGCTTGTCAGACTCGCCACCGTCATGGATCTGAAGAAATCCAGCATGGCCGAAGAAAAAGAAAAGAAGACGGCCGTGGAGAAGAACGTGTCCGAATTGGAAGCGACATTGCAAGAAAAGACCCAAGCTTTTGAAGAAATCAAGGCTAGGTTCGACGCTGCCAAGGAAGATCTGGAAAAGCAAAGTCAAGAAGCCGAATCCAAGGAGGAACTCTTGCAAACACTGCAGACTGGTGTCGCTTCCAAGGACGGTCAAGAAAGCGGTTACCAAGGCCAGCTTCAAGACGCGAGGAACCGCGCAACAGCTGCTGTTACTGAACAGGAGCAGGCGAAAATGAAGATTGCCCATCTCGAAAAGCGCATCAAGGAGGAAGAGCCACGTGCCAAGAAGGCAAAGGCACAAAACGCCGATCTTCTGAAGGACCTTGAAGGTCTGAGGTCACAAGCTCAGAAGCTCGAGAAAGAGCTGGGCAGACTGGGCTTTGAGCCCGGCCAGGAGGAGCAGCTGTACCAGAAGCAGTCATCTTTGCAACAGCAAATCCGAGGCCTTCGCCAAGAGGCGGACGGGCTAAAGCGCAAGGTTGCCAATATCGACTTTAACTACGCGGACCCCACCCCCAACTTCGACAGGTCCAAGGTCAAGGGGTTGGTTGCTCAGCTGTTCACTTTGGACAAGGAGAACACACAAGCAGGCACCGCCCTCGAAATCTGCGCTGGTGGCCGTCTCTACAACGTTGTAGTTGATACTGAAGTTACTGGTACCCAGTTGCTTCAGGGAGGAAAGCTTCGCAAGCGTGTTACGATTATTCCCTTGAACAAGATTGCAGCTTTCAAGGCTTCAGCCCAGACCATCGCGACCGCGCAGAGAATTGCCCCAGGGAAAGTCGACCTGGCACTGTCCCTCGTGGGTTACGACCATGAGGTGTCTGCGGCCATGGAGTACGTCTTCGGCAATACGCTCATCTGCGCCGATGCGGACACAGCGAAAAAGGTGACCTTCGACCCCAACGTGAGAATGAGGAGTATCACCCTGGAGGGCGATGCTTATGATCCCTCTGGTACTCTGTCGGGCGGTAGCTCTCCCAACTCTAGTGGCGTCCTAGTCACCCTGCAGAAGCTTAACGACATCACTCGCCAACTCAAGGAGGCCGAAGCTTCTCTGCACCAACTTCAGCTCACTATCGCGAGCGAGAAGTCCAAGCTTGACCACGCGCGCAAGATCAAGCAGGAGCTTGATTTGAAGAGCCACGAGATCAAGCTTGCTGAGGAGCAAATCAGCGGCAACTCGTCGTCGTCCATCATCCAAGAGGTGGAGAACATGAAGGAGACTATTGCTCAACTCAAGACAGACACTGCGACAGCGAAAAAGAGACACGCCGAGGCCACTGCTGACGTGAAGCGGATTGAGAAAGACATGAAGGACTTCGACAACAACAAGGACGCGAAGCTTGTGGAGCTCCAGAAGTCATTGGACAAGCTGAGGGCCAACCTCACAAAGAACTCCGCCTCAGTAAAGGTTCTTCAAAAGGAGGTGCAAGGTGCGCAACTTGACTCTGAGCAAGTCTCGGGCGACCTGTCTGCGGCCCGCGAGCAGTTGCAAGAAGTCGAAGTGGCCATCAAGGCTCAGCAGCAAGATATTGAAGATCTTGTCAAGCAGCAGAGCAGTCTCCAGGAGACGCTCGATGGTGTCCAGGCCGAGCTTGATGACGAACGCGCCAAGCTGCACGGGTTCGATGACGAACTCCACGCACTTGAGGACGCCACTCGGTCCAAGAATGCTCGCATCGCCGAGGAGAGCCTCGAAATGCAGAAACTTGGCCACCAAGTCGAGAGGTTCCACAAGGAGCAGCAGTCGGCCGTCCAGACGGTGGCTCATATGGAGAAGGAGCACGAGTGGATCGCTGACGAGAAGGAGAACTTTGGCCGTACAGGCACGCCGTACGACTTCAAGGGCCAGAACATTGGCGAGTGCAAATCGACGCTCCGCAACTTGACGGACCGATTCCAGGGCATGAAGAAGAAAATCAACCCCAAGGTTATGAACATGATCGAGAGCGTCGAGAAGAAGGAGGTTTCGCTCAAGCATATGATGAAGACGGTCATCCGCGACAAGCGCAAGATCGAGGAGACCATCATCAGCTTGGATGACTACAAGAAGAAGGCCCTCCAAGAGACGTGGGAGAAGGTCAACGGCGACTTTGGCCAGATCTTCAACGAGCTCCTGCCTGGCAGTTTCGCCAAGCTGGATCCTCCCGAAGGCAAGACCATCAGCGAAGGTCTTGAAGTCAAGGTCTCTCTTGGCAAGGTGTGGAAGCAGAGTTTGACTGAGCTCTCTGGTGGACAAAGGTAAGAACCCATATACCCCTTTTAAATGGTTGATTAGAGAACTGACATATGTGGTACAGATCCCTCATCGCTCTCTCCCTCATCATGGCTCTCCTGCAGTTCAAACCGGCGCCAATGTACATTCTTGACGAGGTCGATGCTGCCCTGGACTTGTCCCACACGCAAAATATTGGTCGCCTGATCAAGACGCGCTTCAAGGGCTCGCAGTTTATCGTCGTGTCCCTAAAGGACGGCATGTTCCAGAACGCCAACCGTATCTTCCGGACCCGCTTCAGCGAGGGAACCAGTATGGTTCAAGCGTTGACACCCGCTGATCTGAAGTAAAACATCTTTGGCTCACTGGCTTGACTTGGCGATGGTGTCTTGGTCTCAGATGATCAAGACACTAATCCGGTATGCGACATAATGAATGACGATGATGGGATCCTTCCGTTTCTGCTTGTCATTGAGCGTCTTTTTCTTAGGCTGTACATGAAAGAAGGGCGGCATCCGCGGAGGGGTTTGTGTGTTGAATACCACTGAGACGAACTGTTCGGTGTCGTTTTGTTTCTGCGGTGGGTTCGGATGGGTTCTTACGGAAACGAACCGGTACTTTGGGAGTAACGGCATGATATCTAACGGAGGCTCAAGTGTGATAATGATGATTCGATTTTTCGTGTTCTATACACTGCACCGCCGTCCTCATTTTCCTCTGATCTTGGATGTGCTTCCCATCTCAGTCTATGCATTCTAAGCCTGTAACCATTCCTCGTACATCAAGACCATCAACGCCATCAGCCCAACCACTGAACCTGGAAATGACTTCACTGCTTAATGTAGACGTGCTCACCGCGCTCCAGCACCTCGACAGCCATGCCGACCTCGAGCCAGGCCTGCATATACTCGACGCGGTCGGTGCCTTCGAACAGGGGGACCATCTGCATGCCCAGGCACCCCATGCGCGGGGCGCCTTCGTCGACGTCGCGGAGCTTACGGAGGGACCTGTCCGGCTCGACGCCGTGGCGGGCGCCGGTGACCGGGTCGACGTTGGGCATTTTGCAACTTTTACGGATTAGTTGATATTACCAAAAGGGATGCAAAGGTGGTTCTATCGCGGGCCTCAAGAAACCACCCCACCCTTCTGTACCCGCTTGGCGGTTTGAAGATGGGACGAGGAAAGGGGAGGGGAGCTTACCGAACTGTGCGGCACGAGACCTGGAACTTTGTAGGCGCGGTGACCTTGGACGTGCCTTGGGTGAACTTGACCGACTTCCACGACTCTTCGTCGTATGCTGGGGCACCGGAGACTGTTCGATCCCGTTAGCCAGGCCGACTCTTGAACATGGTTTGCTGCCGGGAAGAGCACGCCCAGACAGGGGCTCGGGAGGGCGGGACAGCCTTACCAATGATGTTGGACCGGAACCTCCTGACGTCGAGGTGTTGGAGCTCCTCGTCCTTGGGCACCTGGGCGTCGAAGTCCTGGAGGCTGCTCATGTTCATGAGGTGCAGCGGATACTATCGTCCACCCTTTTTGTCAGTCCAACGCTCTCTCCGGGCTTCGCGTCCGGCACAGCCGAGAAAGAGACTAACCGCGTCCTGGAACCCGACAACGGGCTGATACCCCGCCTCCTCCCTGGTGGGCGCACACCGGTACACCTCCCTCAGCTTCCCCGGATCGACGCGGAACAGCGCCAGCTTGTTGCTCACGCTCAGGTACCGGCTCAGCTCCTCGGGGAGCTCCTTCTCCATGTTCAACGCAGGGACCATCTCCTTCCACACCCTCACGTCCTCGCGCGTGTACCCGCGGTCCTCAATCTCCTTGTCGGTGGGGAACTCCACCGGCAGCAGCACCTCCATCTCCGGCTCCCCGCGCCACCCGTCCCGGATCTTGGCCGCGACCCACTGCATGGTGCCCTTCCAGCCGGGCTCGCGCCAGGGGAAGCGCAGCACGATCCACGCGTCGCTGCTCTTCTCGAGGAACACAGTGCTCTTGGTGGCGTCGGGGACGTAGACGTCCACCTTGACCGTCGCCAGCTGGGGGAACTGCCGCTGCGTGACAAACTCCCACGAGTGCGTGTCCCGGCCGTCCCCGGCGCCGCCGCCGTCGCTCGACACGGGGAACGGGGACTTGAGCTGCGCAAAGGTGTACAGCCTGTCGAACTCGAGGCCCGTGGGGAGGAGCTTGCTCCGCGTGACCTCGATGCCGCGGCACGACTTGATGGGGTACACGCAGAGCGCCTTGACCTTGGCGGCGCCGGCGGCGTCGGTCCCCGTCTTCTGCTGCTCGGCGGCAGAGGACTGGTCCCGGAGGCTGCTCTTGGGCGGGGCCACGCCGAGCTTGGAGTGCGTTGCTAGCAGAGCGTCGCTGGTCGTGGCCGGGATCGGCGGGAACAGATAGAGAACCGGGAGGAGGAAGCAGATGACCGTGGCCAAGGGCAGGAAGTAGAAGCCGAAGCTCAGGCGGGCCGGCTCGCCCAGGGCGGACGCCGATATGTTGGCCGCCTCCATTACGGTTAGTGATTCTCTCCTCTCGTGTTGCAGGCTTGGCCGCTCCAATTGCTCGTGGTTATCGATGGCGGTGTATCAGTGTCATGTGAGTTCTTCCGGTCTCCTTGGTTTCGTGCAGTATCGCTTGCTCCCTTGTTTGTTTTGTAAGACAGAAGGGGGTGAAATTGTACGGAATGCGGCCCCGAGGGTTTGTCTTCAACCACCGAATTTCAATGCACGCAGTATCTTGTTTAGTCGGTGACGGTTCACAACTTCCACTCATGGTACGATATGAGCATCAACACCATTCCATTTCTCTCGAGCAATGTGGCCGTTGACACGACGGCTGAAACTTCCCCTTCGTCCCTTCCTGCAGAATCCTGGACCCCTATGGTCCGGGCGCATGCTTCGCAAGCTTACACGTGATATATCATGTGACTCGTGTTGATTAGTCATTTGTACCTTTCGACGGTTTCGCGCTGGTCTGTGCTTGAAACGAAGCTTGGCAGAGGGAATTTCGGTCCAAATCCCGCCAACTAATTTCACAACCTTGGACGTGGGTGGCGGTGAGCGGCGACTGGTAGAGGAGCTTCGGTTGTCTACTCAAAACGAACAGGGGAATAGCAGCGATCTCCTTTGCAACAAAAAGCGGAATGATGACACCAAGACCTCAAGCCAGAACCGCCCCAAGCTCAGGGCCACACGTAGATGATCGTCGGCCCCCCTCGCCTGTTGGTCCAACATCTCCGTTCACCTCCACGCCGGCTCTTACCTTACGTCCGTACGCGCAGCCTGTGATGTGCAGTGACATATCTCTAGCGGCGAACACAGTCACTTGGTCTCTCTTCCCCCGTTGGCTCGTGCCTTGCATGGCTGACCAATCGCGCTCCCCTGGCCCGTGAAGAATGGGCCCGGGGGTGTATCCAATGTCGACTCAGTCGGGAATCGGGAGGCAGCAAAAACGGGATGCCGTTGTTAGTCAGGACAATAGGTAACAACACCAGGACGCACCCACCTTGGGGGTAAGGCGTGGGGACCGAACAAGTTCGTCCGACAAACCCTACGCGTGCAGCAAGCGAATCGAGGTATCAAACCATTCAGCCGCTGCTCCGTGCTGGCTTGTCGTCCTAACTGACGTAGCAAGAGTAGCTGTAACCTCTTTGTGAGATGTTTGCGCAAGTCAGAGGAAGAACAGCTCCGGTTGCGACAGCCTCGCGCCCCTTGAAGAGCTGGTCGTGCCGTTGCGCCGGTGGACGTGCGCAGTTTGCGTGTGTGAAAGCCTCTCGGTTTGATCGCAGTGTCGCAGCAAGCTTACGAGCATAGTCCGTTCTCTTGTAGCATTCCATAGGGAGTATCCCGCATAATTCCCGAAAGGAACCTCAAGCCGGTAGCGCTGCAACATCAGAGAGGCTAAATGATGTCGTTGACGCCAGTTGCGATTGGACGCTCAGGGTCAGAGTAGCATTCCTTGTCGGATCAGACGGTTCGAAGGCGGGTTGTCCCTCAGACTGGGCGAAGGCAGTTTGAGGCTGCATGTATCCAGTCTCCTGGGATCAGCCAGACAAGGACTGGTTTAATCACATTCTGGATCAAACCCCTGAGCCTTCCAGCACTGCGTTTTTAATGTGAGTTTGTTCTTGAATGACGCGCCATCGTCAGCAAGCTAGTGTGTACTACTGCCTCGGAAACAAGCCTCGGTTGTCGTTTGATGAGCGCGGTCCATTTCATATGGCAAAGGTAAAGATGCCTGGACCTTCCAAAACCCAATAGACGTACCCAGGTTGCGTTTTGAGTTGGATATTTACTCCAACAAAATACTCCATCACCTGGCTCGCGGTAGTGGCAGCGTTGGTATCAGCCACTTTGAGAGGTTCTTGTGGGCTCGGCAGATCGGTCGCGTCGCATTGCCCCAGACTGCATATGGAAAAGAGCACGAAACATTTTGCAACTTCCATGTAAAAGAGAAAGCATCTGGGATTCTGGAGGCAGTGGAAGGAGAGCATAGGAAAGCGTCGACGAGACTATAGTGCTAGGGAGGAGTAATGAATTATGCCGCATGTGCACCTATACTAGTGACTTCCACGCCGGATGTTGCCCTGCCGTAGGCTGCGGTGCGAAGATCAAGATGCCACAAAGACTGCAACCGTGACTTTGGTCACGGAACCCCCAGACTCGGGCCTCCAAAAGTCCTTAAAATCGGGCATGGAGTGCGAGGCCGAGTTGGAGAATGCGACCAAGGGTAGTCCACTATAGACCACGTTTGCCACTTGGATAAAGAACAAGGTAGAAGTGCATGAAGCCAACATGGTCACAGATGAGAGGCAATGTTATCGGAATTCGAGCTCTCCAAGATTCCCATACAGCCAGGTCAAATGACAGATCAAAAAACTCGACCCATCGAGAATGGCACCTTGATTGTGATGTACCAAAGAGCCCCTTGTCAGAATCCCCTGAACATGGATCAGAAACATTTACTTGTACCGTTGGTCAAGGTTGAGCGATTTCCTTAGTAAATGAGGAAAACGAGCGGCGCGCAAAGGGCTGCTTGGAGAACGCGAGATATGATGAGCGTGGTACTCCTAGCTTTACAGACCAGGCTGTACACCATCCTTGAGTATTATGGTGGCAGTGACTTGTCTTCGAATATGTTTCGATGTTTTGATGTTTCGAGGACGAGTACAATGTTTTCTTGTAACGAGGTAGACTTCTCTTAAATTATAGGAATGATACCATGTCCGAACATTTGTCGATTTGTTGCACCAGCCGTCAGCCCTTGACGTCAAATTTAATTTTCATCTGCAGTCATGTATGGAGGAAGCCCAAAATTCAAAGCCAGCCCTGGCCGCTTGCTCCGTCAAATAACCATGGTTTCTTGTCTTGTATGGCATCGAGTCGTTCCATTGATCCGTCTGATGCGTTCATGTAGCGAACCCGTGGAGACACCAGACTCGCGAACACACGCCCGCTTAGCCAGCCACAGCGGAACGGTAGGGCCTATTGTTAGACTCAGCTGAGGTATAGAGTACTTCGTGTTACCTTGAAGCCAAAGATGAGCCGTTTTTGCCCCACTGCGGAAGGGATGGAAAAGACCAAGAGACGACACGAGGCCGCGGCGTCAACTAGGGACAGACTTGTGTCTTCGCGCGCTCTTCCTAAGCCCTGGCTAGCCAATCTTTGGACGGATGCCAAGCATTCTAGCCACGTCGTTGTCCACGCTAGCTTTCTAACAAGAAGCCTCTGCAGGTCATCGAGCGTTTGCAGCTTTCGATCATATGCAGGCCCGGTTGCCAGGGCGAGGTTTTTTTGATTTTTTGAGAGGCGCCTTTAACGTACAGTCTGAATGAGTAAGACTCGAGTGGCTTTGCAAGTCCACGACGTAATGTGTGCGATTATGCAATGCGACTGCTGCCAGCACGGCCAGGCATGTTCCCCAAGGTTATTTGGCGGTCGACCGAGGTCCGCTCTTGTCGCCCTCGCGGGTAGCAGTAGAGGAGCCCACCAGCAAACAGACAGGGTCTCGTCATTTCTTCATTGGTTGGGTTGTTGACGTCAGGCTTCTTGAATTAGCACCAAGCAGGTTTCTAACCTTGGGTGATGGTTTCATTGGTAAGGTAGCCATGGGCTTTGGCAGGCGCCTTGACAAATTGTCAACCACTGATGAAGTTGACCATCCATAGCAAGCCATGTAACCATTCGCGACGGGCAGACTCAATGCCGCGCTGCCGTCAGGTACAGCGGTATTTGGTACTACCAGCCTCTCGCGGTCAGTTCATCCGATAAGCGTTAATCTCAAATAAGCAACACATTGCTCGGCGCGTCGAATGAGGAGGTGCTCCACCAACCCGTTACCGCTGAACGGCCGCGGCCAAGAAGACTCAACGCGCCGCAGCCAGGTCTAACGGCCGTCATCCATCCTGAAATAGAAGGCTTCCGTGTACCACGTTTCCCAAGTTTGGCTCTGGATGATTATCTCGTTATTGCGGTATGCTCCTGCGCCGAGAAATCGCAGGATGGTGGCGAAGGTACCTTGTCGATTATAATCCTCATCTTGTTAGTGTTTGAGCTCTGGGTATCCAGTCGCGCAGCAAACCTGGACCCCGACCCCCCCCCCCCCCCCCAATTCAATGTAAGACCGAAAGTAGAATGACTTTGGGGCTCAAGTGGGTAATTGGGGGCCGCGGCAGCCGTAACTTGGGTATTGCCTGGTTGAGGCTTTGGTGCGTTTTCCTGAGGTGATTTGTTGGCCCTCTACAGGGCATATCCCCCTTCTCACGGATGAATGCATCCCGTCCTCAAACTGGAGCGTCGATCAGCTCAGAGGGAACAAGCTTGCGGCAGCAACAGACGCAAGAGGGTCGACGAAATGACGCCACGCTAGCGTGGGCGGGCGGTTCCCTACTGTCTGTGACTTTGAACCGGGCGACTGGGGCATCTTGGTAGCAGGTCCTTGGGGCCTCTTGATGAGGGTTTGAATGAGGCCGTCAATGTCCAAGGCCTCGAGGCCAACATGTTGACGATCCAGTCTGTAAACATGGTCCATGACCCAAGATCCTGGCCAGACGCCATGACCGCCTGGCGGGGTCGGGAAAAGCAATGAAGGAAAAGTTGCGAGACGCAAAGAGGCTCCAAGGTTCAAGCCTGCCCACCTGTCCCTTTGTCTCGGGGCGTGTCTTGCCATGAGAGATTTCTAGCCCTGCACCGGTAGCAGATGGTTCGCGACATGCAGAGTTCGTCAATGGCTTTCTAATATGCAGCGTTCGCGTTTCAATGGCCATATCCGTTCATATGCTGAGATACGGTACGCGGTTAGCGGTGAGAGAAAGCTGCGAGACGATGGCGGTTTTGCAGCGAATCCTGATCGCCTACAATGACCACATCTGGTGGGTTTCCGACCACAACTCATTCGCCGTCGCAGATGATGGGGTTCGACGACTCGACTCGGTGGGCCATGTCCTGCTATAGCATGCCGTTTGTTGGTATTAAAGCAAACTGCATGGATTGTCTGCTTCAGACAGCTCCGA